TACCTAGAAAATAAATGCAAACATTCCTTACACAAACTACTAATGGCACCTTTTGTCCTTTGGACTCCAGTCATTCTATAATATTTGGGCCTTGAAATATTATTTACATAAAAGTTAAACAATAATAAAAAATAAACTCAAATTGGATTTGACTTTTCAAGTGAATATTTAGATATGTTGATTTGCTTTTCTTTTTGATTATCTTTTTGATGTTCTCAACAGCATAATGACAATGTCATACAGACCCAAGAACTGCTCAGGTGACAAAAAAGAAACCCTAGCTGATCATGTATGGTGTAACTTTATCTATTGTCCATCAGGTCTTTCCCTTGCTTTGCCACTTTTCTAATATAACTAAACTATTTAAAATCCATTACTATGCTTTCTTGTTGAAAAGCACTGTAACACTCAGAAAAGCTTAAAATAAAACAGTAGAACTCCAGGGCAGTCACAGAATCAAAACTTCTACTTACACACAAAAAAGGAAAAAAAATTCATTGGAGAATTAAAATATTCAGAAACTATGCAATAAGTAAAAATGAAAGAATGACAAAGAAAGAAATAAGAGAGCATTTTTAGTAAACATATAATTTTTATCCTTGGTTTACTCTTGAGTAGAATCTTAACACGTATTTCCCAACAGATACCAATGGAGTTACCAAATGATCTTACATAAGGAGCCAAGGTCACACTGTGGTTCTGTGAGAGAAAACAGATAAAGGTTATAAGACTGCCATCACTAAAAAGCATAAGAAAATGCAGCTGGTTTATGTATTTAGAAAAGTGGCATAAGAATCAGCCATGAATTAATTTATGTCATGTGAGACAAAAAACTACAAGAGAGATGACTGAATGACAGCATAAGCATCTGTATTTTTGCTTGCACTGTTCTGTTTATTAAACACTTTTCAACTTCTGCTGCTGTTGACTGCAAGCAGGATTTCCACAAGACTTAGAAAGACTAACAGCTTGTGTAGGCATTTGAAAATATGGGATCCACAACCTTAGCTCCAGGTCGTGGAAACTTATATGTCCAGAGATTTCTAAACTCCTGTGCTACTAAAAACACAGTCAAACCATTCTGCATTTTCTTTAGTCTCCTGTGGATCAAATATTCTACTTTCGTATGAATGCATATACAAATTCGTCATTAATGATTAAGTCTTTAGCTGACACTAATTAGTTTCAACCATCTATGTGCTCAGCAGGCCCGACCTACTTCACAGTTCTGCTTCATTAGTGTTGGCAACTTAAACAATATCAGTAAAAATTATATTGACCAACAATGTCCAACTACTCAATGCAGGTGCCACTAAAGCCAGTGACAGCCTCCCTCTGATTTTAATAAGAATCACAATAAACCCCAAAGGCATAGAGAGAGGTAATGCAGTGACAAAAGTCATCTCCCACCAGCAGCAAGCAGCAAAAACAACAGCAACAAAAGGGAAAAACAAAACTCCAGTCAAGTTATTTAGCACAGGCCTGTGCTGCTGGGCTGTGAAATACCAACCCCACAGAGGGAGCTCAGACTTAAGCACAGACTCAGAAGCTATTTGAAAGCTTTGTACTTCAAGCATATTAATTTAGTCAATCACTGGGGAGCAGAAATATACCTCAGGTTAAATTTGGAACTGTGTTAGGAAAACATTAGGATAAGCAGAAAAAGGGAGAGGAAGAGTATTTAGTCAAGACTGGCAGTGTCCAAAGAAACTTGGCAAATGCACATATTCAGCATGAGGGCACTGCATGCACAACTCCAAATCTTCATGTGATGGAACCACATAGAAAGTAAATTAAGCCATAGGTTTAAGCACCTCTGACATGCCTTGAGACACTTTCAGTGCAAAACAGCTTCATATGCAGAAGTTATTGTCCTAAGTAACATCTATTTATCAACATCTAAAACATGTAACCACAACTATGAACATAAGAAACTTCAAATCATGTCCCTTGACACCTTTAAGTTTAAGAATATGTAAGTATTTAAGAATACATTAGAAGCTAAAGCTAGGCTGCAGCTGGAATACTCACAGGTATTTTATACCAGAGATGTTTTTTCCCACTAGAAGGTTCAATGCATCTTCTATCAGGACAGTCAGATTTAGTACTCATGGTGGATGTGTTGCACACTTATAACCAAGTCTTCCAATAGCACTTTGGCAGATGCTGAAGTTCTCTTAAATATCTAAACTACCTTCTTTTAAGCAAGACAGACTTAAAACCTGTAGTAACAGAATCTTAGCACCAGCACACTTGAAGAAAGAAATTCTATTTGTTTAGAACATATAAGAAACATAAAAGCATTCAGTTCTGTATTAGATGCTTTTGCAAGAAAAAGCCCCCAACAAAAACAAAAACCAAAACAGGACACACACAGAGAGAAAAAAACCAAAAGAACGAACAAACAAACAAAAACACACACACACACACACACATACAAAAAAAACCCCAAAACAAATAAACCAAGAAGAAAAAGTGCATTTGTTGCTAGAAGGGAAATAAGAGCAAAATGTTTCACAGCACTTCTATTTGAAGTGATTAAAAAAGCAAAAGTAAAGCAAAAGGTGCCTTGTGACAGTGGTGGTGACAATGGCTTGCTAGGTTACAGCAGTAAAACAGTCCAAGGGAAAGAGCCACTGAACACCAAAATATAGCAATACAAGAAGCCTTTTATTTCCCCAAGAAGCCACTAAAGCATTAACCATGTGAATTAACCATGTGAATCAACCATGTGGATCTGGTGTCTGATGTCCTCTGTGACTTGCACAAAAGTTGGTGAGTCCTCCTCTACAGCAGCACCTGTACTTTGATGAACCAGCCCCTTGCTCATGTTGCAGATCTTCCTTGACAGCATTTGCCAGATTCCTGCACTCACTCCAGCAGGAGTACAGAGGTCTTGACCATTAAGTGTTCCCTTAAGGCCTCCGAAATCAGCCCAGCACAAATCTTCCCGTTAAAGTGTTTGTATTTTGTGTACAATGTGGATTCATGAACTCTTCAGAACACGAAACCATTTTCTGCTAATCTCACCCCTCATTCACACCCCCCAGTCAATCCCATCACTTACACTGCTACACCTCTTTGTCTCATTGTGGAACAAATGATCTGGATTAACAACAATGCTGTAAAAGACAGCTTTGCCTTTTAATAGAATGATTCCCCTCACTTGTGTTTCCACAAGTGAAGATGCTGAGTGGGCCAGAGCAAGGAACTAGGGCAGGAAAGAAACAGCATGGAACAAACTTGCACTGTCTGCTTGTAAAACTATGTTTTAGTGAATGTGTATAACTTCTTTAAAAAATGAAACAGATCATTGCAACTGAGAGATCAGATATTTTCGGTATTGCCCTCTGCAAATGAAACTTATTTAGTCTTATTTAATTTGCACAAATTAGTACTTAGAAAAGATCAGATCCTCAGTAGGGATATAACAAAAGTAATCAGCTTTTGTCTGGCATCTCTGGAATTAGAGATTTACAGCAACTGAGAACCTCCTCTGAGAAGACAGACTGTGTTGACACTAAACAACACAAAAGACCATTATCAAACAATCACAGGGTTTCTATTAGTTCAGAGGAAGATGTCTAATTTTTTTACTTTATGGATTCAAGTGAACTGTCTTCTCATGCAAACAAAATTTTTATTATAGAAGAGGTCCAAGGAAAATTTTCAGCTCACTTTCTAACTTTGGTGCCATGCAAAATTCATTTACAAGTGACAGAAAGTGGAACAGATGGCCAGTCTGCAGGACCACGGGAAGGTATGACACACTTAAAGGGCTCATTTGTAAAAGCCACTTTGAAAAGTATCCCGTCTGCAGGAAACTAATAGGCCAGTGAGAATTTCTTCTCAGGATAAAATGTTTTTAACTGTATGTCCTTGTCTAGTTTTCTTTCACAGATGGATTTCTGTAAAAGTCAGACTGACCATGATAGAACAGTCATAACAAAGCCAGACTGGCTGTTCTGGGCAGATAATAGTAAATACAGTGCTACTGTGAGTCATTTTCCCCAGAACTGGTATGTGAAGCTCAACAGAGTTCTTTCTCTGCCATTATTTTGGAGAGAAGGCATGCATCCCTAGCTTGTGAATGCAGGAAAAGGGCAGTGAGCAGAGGAACACTATCCATAGACTCTTTTATTACCATGGAAAACTAGGCAATACATCCAAGTTAAATTTGCATGGTTATCAATTAAAAGCATTAGCATTTTCCTTGGAATATGAAAATATTTCATCTGAGATCACTGACATAAAAACACAAATCTGGAGCCTCATTATGGCATCCTAATAGCCCCTTTCCACAACACAAACATTCCTCACATAAGTTAAAAAATGTGACCGTACAACAGACAGGAACCAGGATTGCACTTACTGGGCTAGAAAAGAATGGCAAAGAAAAGATGAGCTCTTCAAAGAAAAGAGGGTTTAACAGAATTCACATTACTAGCCTTATTGGATCAATGAATAAATACATATGCAGCTCACTGGGTAAGACCTAACTCAGAGAAAAGCAATTAAAATTGATACCCTGAAAAATCCAAGAGAATGGTCATTAGCTAATAAACAGTACAGCACTGTCCCCACTGTGAAGGTGAGGCTTGCACCCCAAGCCAATCACTGAGGGCTGACAGAGCAGTTAAAACACCTAAACTTTTCATGTCCAAAAATAGGCTTCTCAACCTTTTTTCAAACTGTGAAATGGCTCAGCTATTTCTAAATGCCACTGAATCAAATCCAGTGGCAGGTGTAGAGAGACACTGTGACAGTAACCTTCAACATCTCTTCCCGACTGTGTTTAGCTTTTCTTTTTTCCTCTCAAGAAGACTTAATCTCACTGTCTGGCTGAACATTAATCCGCTTTCACCAAGTCCCAACCTAATGCTTGCTGCATTAATGCACTGCAAATCCTCAAGGTATAAATTACACACAATTCAGTATAAAAGGAAAGCATAGGGCTTTCTTCTCACTACAGCTGTTTCTTCTAGAAAGACGAGTTGGAGTTGAATACAGGTAAGTTTTCATCAGATCCTGATGTAGAAATATTTTTTTTCATATTGCAAACACTTAAAGTGATTAATTGCTTCTGAAAAATACATTATGCTTTGCTTTTTCTCTCTCTTGCTTGTTTTTCTTTGTCCTTACAGACAGGATACATTCTCCCTACAGAAACTTAGATAAAAATATTTTATTGAAAGTGGTATTCTGCTATTATTGTCCTTCTGCAAAGATTGCTGACATGCCATTTCAGTTGCTTAGGAAAATCAAACTCCTTTAACAGTAAACATAAGGAAGATCTATCTAATGTCTGTTCTTACTGACGATTCCAAACACTTGCTGTTATGGAATCACTTGAGGATAATGCCGAGACTCAATTTCTCCCTGCTCCTCTAACTATTTCCTGTTGAAAATAACTATACATTTCTCCAGTAAAGATATTTTTTTTTCTTTATAGACAGGATGAAGACACTTAATTGTTACATGCTGTTACTTTGCTGGAAAGCAATTTGCTGCAACAGCTGTCAGCTCACCAATATTACCATAGCTGTGGAAAGAGAAGAATGTGAATTCTGCATTACAGTGAATGCCACGTGGTGCTCAGGATACTGCTTCACACGGGTGAGACTCAATTTCAGGCACCAGAATTAAATATTTCAAGTGATGTATGGTAACCCATTCCTGCAGTCTGTAGCAAACACACAGACAGGAGGAGCCCTTGTGAAAGAGCAGGCTGAATAATTGCTGTGCTATCTGACCCAAGAGTACATAGACAGCCAGTCTGAAGCACAGACAGAAGGGTGAAATATCGGAGTAAAATTCAGTTTATTAACTGGCATATATTATGTTCATGTTGTATAACCCGATTTAGAAGAATTACAGTCTGGATCTCTGCTTTGTGCTCAATTTGTGGTTGCAAGCAGATACAATAAAGCAGCCATTACTCCTCTGCTCTTTCAAATAATTTGAAGAATCAAGCAATTGACGTGAAAGATTGTCTGGTGATGCTATGACACAAATTTGCCGTATCAGTCCTCCTGAAAGGAGAAATTTAAACATCTAAATGAAATTGGAGGAATCAGACCCAAATGATTTTGATCTCAGTGGGTTTTCCCATTTTATAGAAATTTTGGAATCTAACCCATAACAAATTTTAAAACAGTTATTTCCTTCTTGTAATTTCAGGATCCAGTATACAAATATCCACCAGTATCAACTGCTCAGCAAACCTGCACCTTCAAGGAGGTTGTGTATGAAACAGTGAAGATCCCTGGCTGTGGAGACCACCCTGAATCTTTTTATTCATACCCAGTAGCTACAGAATGTCACTGTGACACCTGTGACACTGACACCACTGACTGCACTGTGAGGGGACTGGGGCCATCCTACTGCTCCTTCAGTCAGAATGGAAGTAACCAGTGAAGGGAACTGGAGACAGCACTTTGGCTTTACATGTTCCCTGCTAAGTAAAGGTACTGTTCAGGTTTAAAAGGAAAATAACAGCCTAGGCTATTTAGAAACTGCCCAGATTGAAACGAAGATTTTTAAGGCCAAAATGAAGAGCTACTGACTAAACTCCTCTTCAGGTCCTCCTTACTTAACCTATCAGTTGCCTTAAAATCATTTTAATAGGTCTGTTAAAAATGCTGCTTCCAATTTCTTCCCCTTCCCCCCTCTTCCTCTTTATAACATCTTCATTATTTGTACTTCTGTATTTCCACTGCCTGCTATTCTATGCTATTCTGTGCATTCAAAAAGTTCCCAAGATTCAGGTCTTTATTATGTCCTGCTTTTCATCTCTCCTAAGAACACACTTATTTTAAAAAGCCTTGCCGCTGGTTGTGGTTCTATTAGCAGAATTGTAAACCTCTCTCAGCTGAGATCCTGACTGATTTTGTTTACATTATGTTTCATATGGTCATTATGCTCTGCCAATAATAACAGCATGTATATTTAAGAGCCAAAATCTATGTTCAAATGTTGAATGTCACCTGAATTCTAGTACTTTCTCAGTAAGGCTTGCTAGTTCAGCCTCATTGCCACAGTAACACAAGTAACAGGAACTCTGGTTTGTACCTGGCTAACTTGAAGAAATCATCAGCTCTCTATTTTCATCTGAGTGCAAAATGTAGTAAAGAGAAATGTTTAGCATTATTTAACATAGGAGTCTCGAAAATTATTTAGTGCAAACAGTGTGTGATAATGTGCCTTGAGAGCCATTCACAGGACTCCCTTCTGAGAATGGAAGTTCACAGAACTCTGCAGCAACCTAACTCTGCAAATACCAGTATGAAGTGAGCTGGAGGACTGACTGAATCAGAATGGGAAATTACCTCATATTATTGAGAAAATTATATGAAGCCTACAGAATGAAATCTTATGGGGAAACTGAAAATATACCATTGCTCAACAGAAAAATCACCTGCACAGACACAGAGTGGAAACAATGGATTCAGCAGCAGTTTGGCACTACAGGCTTGGTGATGTACAAGCAAAGTAAGAGTCACTTACAGCACTGCAGAAAAGTGGGAATGCAAGGAGCAGAGCCTACGAGACACAACCTACCTCCACCACTCAGTTCTACCCAAGGTGGGGCCTTGGCTGAGTGGTTATTTCTGACAGAACTTCAGCGCATTGAAAAACTGGAGAAAATTGACAGAGGAATAACAAGAATGGACAGAGGCTTAAAAAACATCTTAGGAGAAAAAGATTCAAATAGATTTGGTTGTTTTGCTTAGGGGAGGGGAACACTTAGGGGGAATATCAGCAGAACATTTTACATGCTTGAAGACTGTTAGACAGAAAAGAACAGTCAGTTCTCCATGTCCAAAGAGAGCAGAACAACTGATGAAAGATTCAGAGTAGTCACAAGCAAATCTTCTGAAAGCCACAGATAAGTAGACACTGAAATGAACTGTCAGGGGCTTGGAGAAGGACCGAGAGGATGAAGGAAGGGTGTGGGGTCTGTGGATTCGTGACCACTCCAGCCCCAGAACGCGTGGGACGTGTCAGGAACGACAGACAAAGCTCTCTGAGCACGAGGCAGGGGAATGAAGCAGAAGCAATCTGTCATGTCTGCCTTACAGACCCTTACAGACACTTCTGTTTAAGGAGAATTTGCCTGTTACTCTGAATCTGTCTTGTAATAGATAATAGATATTTTAATTTATGTAGTTTTTAGCTTTTTTACCAAAAGGTATTAATTATCTTGATTTTATTTATAAGATTTATATGCATGGACATTTTCTTTGATCTAGTGAAGCTTTAACAGTGGTAAAGTAATAGATAAATCACATTGGGTGTCACTCAGTTTTAAAAATCAGTAAATTTAAGTTAAAACTAAGCATATTGTTAATATCAGCAGTTATTCCATTCTAAATGAGAGAATTTTGAGTTACAATTGCAAAACAATGTAGCTTATAATTAAAAAGTATATAAAAAGACTATGTTTTCAAAATAGATCTGTATTGTCTCTTGTGTATTTTCAAATAAAAATAATTTAATTGCACTTCTGTTATGAGTCTTAATAAGCTTATTTTACAACTCAAGAGTCCACCTGCCAACTTTACTATGCTTTAAATTGCATGTTTTCTTCTTCCTCTCATAATCTTTTCCCATGTAACTAGTAGACCCACCAGAGCCATATAGGTATTATATGGCCAAACCAAATAGGATAATATTTTAGCCTCATCCAGTAACATGATAGTTACAATATAAGAGTAGCATGGATAAGAATAATGATTATCATTAACATTTTATTTAAATTATAGACATAGAACCTGTCCACAGGTGTGTCCACATCTCTGACAAACTAGATTGCATGTGAAAACAAAAATCATACAGGTCTCATTTCATCCATCAGACAAGTGCAGCACTCATTTTCATTTTGCAAACAACACTATTCAGAACCTCGAATGTAAAACTGCCACTAACAGAGTCCAAAGTGTATTGAGGTGTCGTGCTGTGCTGCTTTGGGCTGGGGTGGAGTTAATTCCTTTGCAGTGGCTGCTGCAGGGCTGTGTTTGGATTTGTGCTGAGCACAGGGCTGAGAACACAGAGATGTTTTTGTTGTTGCTGAGCAGGGCTTGCACAGAGCCAAGGCCTTCTCTGCTTTTTGTAAAGCCACGCTGGGGAGGAGCTGGGGCTGCCTGGGAGGGTGGGAGGGGACACAGCCAGGACAGGTGACCCCACCTGACCAAAGGGACATTCCAGACCATGGGGTGTCACAGAAACTGGGGGCAAGGAGGAGGAAAAGGGGAATGTTTGGGGTGATGGTGTTTGTCTTCCCAAGTGACCATGACCTGTGATGGGATCCTGCTCTCCTGGAGATGCCTGAACTCCTGCCTGCCCTTGGGAAGCAGGGAATTCATTCCTTGTTTTGCTTTACTTGTGTGCAGAGCTTTTGCCTTCCCTACTAAACTGTCCTTATCTCAGCCCCTGAGTTTTCTACCTTTTATTCTTCCCACTCTCTCCCCAACCCCTCTGGCGGGGCAGTGAGGAGCAGCTCCGTGGGGCTGGGGTTAAACCACGACAGGAGGTTTAGGAATGGGACTCCCCAGCTCATTCTGTCATTGAGAATCTCCAAATCATAATCCAGTCCCCCCC